AAGACTCTTTCATGATATTATTTCTCACTTAGAAAACTGTAACATTCTCCTTTCCAGCCTTCTCACCTCTTATTGTACAGCTCAAATACATTCGGAGTTATTTTTCTTTCACAACACACTGATCACATCAGTCTCCCTGGAAACCCTTTGCTGGCTTCTTGTCTGACTCTACATCAAGTTCAAACTCCACTGCAAAGGATTTTATGATTCTAGTTAGTTTCTTTCCATAGCCTCTTCCAGAACATAAGCCTTTAAAGCCTTTACCTCAAAAAGAAACATCAATTTCTGCATGATCCAAAGGCTTTACAGGCACAGCTGACTGCAAAAAGAAACTCACTAGAATTTTTGCTTTGGCTTAGCAGTTAACTTTCAGTATAAAGAACTTGAAACAGATAAAAACTGATTAATACTACTCTGTTTTAATCTGCCTGAAGCTCTTTTCACAGAAACGTTGCTAATGGAAGCAATATATGATGCCTGTCATTTTGCCTACTCAGGGTTTCAGGCTATTGCCTGTGCTACCAACACTTAAAATCAGCCCTTTTCTTATAAGTTTGATTCATTAGGTGGCACTCTTGTCCCATACTGAACTAATGCCAAGCAGACTGTTACATCCCGCTGATTTTGAAACAGCAAATAAAATCAATGTCCTTACCAACTGTGATTCTTAAAGATTCTAAGGCAGTAATAGGCAAACTAAGCTAGCAAGTGGGCCTCAAGACTGTTTTAACCAGGAATGTCTCCTGGGCTAGTGTAGTTTTGCTAACTGTGCTTGTATAGCTAGAATTTGAGGGCTGTTCTGATTGAATCACAGCAGAGCTTTGATTGGATGCAGAGGGAGTTCACCACTCTCATAGCCAATATTCTGTGTAATCGGCACACATCTTAATCCACATTCCCTTGTTTTTCATGCATGTCACTTTAGTAATACTAATAGAAAAAAGACTAAGCAGACAGAAATGAGCAGAATCTGGAAACCCTGCGCATGGGCAATGGAAAACAAAATATCTCATGGGCCACACATAGATCCCCGATGGGCCGTAGGCTATCCACCACTATTCGAAGGGCTTGTCTACAATTAAAATGCTGTAAGGGCACACTTGTGCCATGTGATGCTTCAATGCAGATCTATGTCAACATGGCGGGTTCTCCCAGTGGTACAGGTAACCCATCTCCATCAGAGGTGGTGCATTTTCCTATCAACCTACAGCTGTGTACTCGGGGACCTGGGATGGTTTAACTACACTGTGCAGGGTATGGATTTTTCACCCAGAACAACATAATTATGCTAATCTCACTTTTTAGTGTAGATCAGACAAAATAAAGGAATTTAGGAATGTAACCAATAGCCTGGATAAATTGTAAGTCTGAATAATTGCTTCCTTTTCTTCCAAATTCTATTGTTTCAGACAAGTTTACAAGGGGGCCGTCCCCCCTGCTTGTTAAGCTCACCAACCCCCTTTTGTCCGCCGCAGCTGTATTATGGCCTCCCCTCCTACCCGTGGCACAACAGGATGGGGGCCAACACCAGCCCTACCTGTGGACCCCTGCTCACTATGTTTGTCAACCCTCCTCTCCCCAGATAGCCACTTTCACAGCCAGAGAGCCTGTTAACCTTGCACTGCTTACATAGAAAAGTGAACAAATGAAGATGCATTGGAAAAAAAAGCTATGAATGGATGTATTGTTTACATTTAACAGTACTTCATTAAATACTACGTTTGTGATTTCTGGACTGTCATTACTGAATATTTTGATACCCAGTCATCTTCTAGACTGAGACCGAGCCACATAGACCTGGCCGCCGTGTCCGAATTGTCCATTGTGAGCATTTATATACAGGCCAACACAATGAAAGCTCTGTCCCTGGGATGAAACAAATAAATGGCGCATGGGAACAGTTTTTATTGGGGCAAGGAGGCAGAACTGTGTTGTGAGAGGGGACTCTTGGCGTGTGTGTGCATGAGAGCGCAACAAGGCTCGGGGGGGAGGTGAATGAAGGAGTTCTTGGAGGGTGATGAGCATGTATGTGAGTGAGGATGCTCTTGGTGGAGGAGTATAGAGGGGCTGCAGCCGATAGGGGTGTGGGGACAGAGGCTGGTGAGCAGGAAAGGCTTCCAGCAGCAATGCAAGTATGGCGCGTGGAGGGGCTTGGCTGGAGGGAGGTGACTGAGGGGGCTGGAAGTGGGGTACGGAGGGGCTGCAGCTGGCAGAGGTGTGGGTGGCAAGTGGAGGGGCTTGGCTGGAGGGGAGAGGACGGAGATAGTAGCATGGTGCAAGGAGGGTTTGTAAGCTGCGGGGGGAAGAGACTGGTCATGTGAAAGGGCGTGTGTGTTCTGGGCTTGATCCAGCTGGCAGCGATTGTAGCATGGCCCGAGGAGGGGCTGCAGGCTGTGAGGGGGAAGAAACCGGTCAGTGCAGAAGTTGGCCAAGGCCAGAGCATGGGGCAGGAGCAGGGGCTGGGGTCCTAAGATGCCCCCCAGGGGAGCAATGTAAGGACCACAGGAGCAGCCTGGAGCAAGGGGTGGATAAGCCAGAGGGCAGTGCTTTATCATACACTTATGGTACATGGAACTGATGCACAAAGTGTAGCAAGACCTTAAGAGTGGCTATTGTGGTGCCATGAACTCAGGAAACGAGGAAACAAAACAATTAAAGCACATGCTGGCTCATTTTGCCCTAGGAAATCTTTACAGAGAAGGGCAGTAGCTCCCAGAAGGGCTGGCTCTGAATACCCAGTGCTTGCTAGGACCCTGAGGGAAACTCATATGAAGTACAGTCACATGGCTGAGTTTTTGCAGCAGCTTGGGGATCATCTCCCCTGGCCACTTGCCTCTCGCCAGCAGCTAGAAAGCAGAGTACTGGCCCCTGCGGGCTGCCGGGGTTCGATGGCTGAGACGGCATGAGCTGCCTGCGGGCCTCACGTGACTCTCATGATCTGCCTGTGGAGGATCCGACTGCTGGCCCCTGCAGGCTGCTGCGGTTTGGTGGCTGAGGTGGTGTGGAGCTGGCAGTGCTGCACTGGGAACCAGCTGGTTTCCTGCAGGCCCCGCTTGACTCTTGCGATCCGCCTCGCAGAGGGGGCCAAGTGCTGGCCCCTGTGGGCTGCCGGGGTTTGGCGACTCAGGCGGCGTAGAGCTGGCAGCACCACGCATGGGGTGACGTGAGGAGATGGGCAAGGAAGGAGAGGAGAGCATAATTTACCCTCTGGGTTTAGCTACTCACAGTCACCCTGGTCGCAAGCTGTTTGCCTCAGTGTTCTCCCTCTGAGCTAATGGAGTTAGCAGCAGGGTGGAAAGAGGGAGGCCTTGTGGCTGAGGGGGGAGGGGCTGCAGGATGCAGAGTGATGTGATGACATCCCGCAGGAAAATCTTCTTTTATATACAGAGAGATTTCTTGTCCTAAACTGTTGCAGAATGTTACTGTGGGGTGCTATTAAGTACTTGTGATATGATCCCAGCAGTGCTGTAGTTAAGATTGCATTATATTTTACACAAAGCACAGTTTAAATCCTTTAAATTACCATTAAACCTCATACAGATTATTGCCAAACGCGCATAAATTTAAATGAGGACAAACATCAATATGCTAGCTAATTTCCATACTATATTCAGTTCTAATGTGCTTAGAATTTATTTTAGAATTCTTTCTATCCCCCTACAAGTCTAATCTTTTTGGGTCTGGAAAGTTTAATTTCAACACTTAAATATTTCTAATTTACAGGATTAACTGATGTAGAAAAATATACCAGCACTGTAGGACCGAAGGGAGGTATGAAGTTAAAAAAAAAAATATGGCAATAGCTGACATACTTTTTTCACATATCAGGGAAGCAGATGAAGAAAGTTTCTCTGCTATGGGGTTCTTGGTGCAAAATAAAGGAACAGGGATCAATGATTGCTGAAGCCAAGAAAGTTATACTCAGCATGGGCTACAAGAAGCTGATGGTGACAGGATAACACTTAAGTAATGAAGTAGACAGGGGACAAACACTTTTCTTTACCTGACAAATCTACTACTATTTGCTAGAGGGGATTCTTGGTGCTGAGTACCAGAGCAGGGCTAATGAGTAGAAAAGGCAATAAAGTGTTCACTGCTCCGGCAGTGAAAGGCATTCATTGCTCTTTGGCCATCCCCAGGTTACCTTTCCTCTTTATTGCTAACCCTAATCCTTGCTTCTTCCTTGCTCCCCCACAGCTACATATCTTTACCATTCCCTCCTCCATCCCCAACTGAATCCTACTCAATCCCTTCTCCATGCATGGAATTGTTATGGTTTGCAAAAGAGGAATCCTGATGCGGTAGCTGGAGCAGGTTAATTCAATGAAGAAGCCAAAAACATTAGGCTGAGGCAGGGACTGCAGGAGTAGTCAGGGGCAATATCCCTCTAATCTTTTCCATCCATGTATGGATTTTTCTATCCATGCACAGAGGCGTGTGCGGGTGAGAGTTCTACAGGTATTTAAAAGGAGTGCAATAGAGAAGCAGATTTTTTTTAAAAAAGAACATTCAATTAAATGCTAGCAATATAGAATTTCTTTGTCCACTGATAACTTTGTATTCATTTTCATTGTAGCCTACCATGAAGTAAAAGCTAAAACATGTAATGGGTTAGTAAAACATTTACAGGGATAAGCTTGACACCACTAAACACTGCTGAGGCAGTGCCAGCAGGAAAATGAAATGTTTAGTCTCACCAGGCAATTAGCCATCAAATCCCACCCACTGTGACAGCCATAAAAAGGCAAAGATGAAAACTTAAACATTGACTTTGAAATAGCACTTTATCCAACAATCACACCAAGCACAGAGCAGAACAACTCAAGTATAGGAAACCACTTTTATATATAGTTTCCTTTAAAATGCTATATAGTAGATCTCCCTACAAGACTGTGTAAACAGTTTTAGAGTATTTCTATTCTGAACCATAAATCAGTACAAGTGAAATTCCACCCTTTCCTCTTTACACTAAAGGATTAGTTAAAAAATAGAGTACATACCTGGCTACAGCTTCACTGTATACAAAACCAGCATCTGCTCTCTTTACAATTTCAAAACACAGATCTGCTCCATCCATACTGTGGGTAAAAAGATATGAAAAAAGTTCTTGTAAGAAAACAAATAGGCTGTCAAGTCCAACTATGGTAATTTTTTTTTCAGAAATATGTTCCATTTGTATAATGCTCATATCAAAAGTGATTTAGGCGTATGATAATTTATAATTAAACAAAACACATTTAGTAACTACATGTTGGACCTCCCTTGTCTGGCATTTGACCTGTCCTGAAGGAGGGAATTTGCCACATATGGGGTGGTCCCCTGCCACTGGCTTCCCAGGACACTGTGCCTCCCTACAGTTGGCTCTGCTCCCGCCCCACTGCCACTGGGATCCAGCTTGCAGGGCTAGGGTTGCCAGGTGTTCGGTTTTCGCCCAGATAGTCTGGTAATTGCGTCTTCTGAAAAAAAAAACAGAAAATACCAGACATGCAAAATGTCTGGTATTTTCTGTTTTTCTCGGACAGATGATGTTGCTGGACCAGAGAATCCCAGATTTCAAAGGTTCAACCCATATATCCAAATGGTCATGTAAACTAAAAATTCCCCAAACCAAAACATCTTACTACTACCCCAACCCTTTAAGTCTGGGAAAGTAGCAAACCTTTACAGCAGTGGTGCCCAAACTTTTTACACACTATGGCAACCCAAACAATTACAAATATGCATGCCAAATAAATTTTACATATTTTATAAAGAATTAAAAGTACCTGTATTGATTCATATTATTAAGTTCAGCTTGTTTTGGATGTTATCTACATAGCTTGTTTCTATGTACAGGACTGTCTATGTACACACACTTGTGTAAACTAAAAGGATGTAAATATGACGACAAAATGATAATGAATCAGCCATTAGTATATTGTATTGAAGCCGGGCGCAAGCCTTATGAAATTTTTTCATGGGCCAGAGATTGGGCACCCCTGTTTTATGTTCAACAAATGTATAGAACCAACATCTGGTGTCTGTGCATTGTAATCCTTCCAGGCTGCAAACAAATAATTTATCATGTTCTTAAAAAGCATTCAGTATTTGGGTTCCCTAAATATTTAGTGGGTCCCATGCCCGATGGGTAACAATTGATCTATATCACAGCAATAACTTGATCTCTATCTCTCTCTCTCTCCGCCAAAACATTCCCACCTCCCAAACCACACCTAGGTTTTTTTTTTTACATTTGAAACGCTAGAGCTGTGGTGACTCAAATTATTCTAAATTTTTGTAAAAGCCACAAGGCATAACACATTTCAAGAAAATCAATGCAAGCATGTAGATTTTAGAGCACTTAGAATCCTTTTCCTTTGAACAGCAAGGAGAGGGGGATG